TGCCACTGTTTTTGAGACTTTCATTGTAAAGTCAAGAACTGACTTGGGAGTTCTCATCTCAGTCCTGTCGCTTCACTGTAGGAAAATATGCTACCCAAACGGAACGGATGGTGTCTTTTCTTCCTGTTCAGAGCTTGACATGGTATTTAAGATGTGATACTGAGCATATTTACTCAATCAAAGATATTTCTGTTAAATGAGCCTCAAGAAAGTCTTTCACACTTGAAACATGAAACTTTGCCACAAGTGCTGTTCCAGGTTCATAAGGAAAAGGAAGGGAGGAGATATATGGGCTGTGAGCAGACTTCTCAGTCTTCAGGACCAAATGGAGAATGCACAGGTTGACAGAGGACAAGAGGAAGCCAGTATTGATGTAATATGTGATTTACTCAGCCTGTTGTATGCACATATACACACATATACACAGCTGCCTCACAGCCCTTGTGCACTGAGGAATGTCTTTATACAGGCAGATGTCAGATGTGAAGTCAGATGCTCCCAGGCAAACCTTTTTCTACACTGATGAATGTTTATTTTAGAAATAAGGAGAGTTCTTTTGTATCACTTTCATACAGTTTAACCACATAAAAATGACAATAATTTCTTTTTTTTTTTGACTAGTTTGGGAGGTCTTTGTCTTGAAAAGTGTTTACTTTTCCTGTGCAATTGTCTCGGCACTGGTGGAAGGGATTCTGTTAACATTAAACCACATCCCTAGAAAATTTCCTTTTACCAGCTAACACCTTAGAATGATTTGGGGTTTACCATATGTGTTGTGCATATGGGAACTAATCCAAACTTGTCACCTACATAGCGCTTGGGCTCAAGACTACAAGTTCTAGCTACACCATTTACTTTTTCCAGACAGACTATGGGGGTTGAGAGAGTGTTTTGTTCTGAAGGCTTGTAGCCCTACTGGGGCAACAACTAATTCTAGCATCTTGTCTTATCACAAGTAGCTTCTCACTAGCGAGTGCCACTTTCTAGTCTCTCTAGCTAGCAGGAGTATTGTCTGATCTCTAGTTCTTGTGGCAATGAGAGGGACATTTCAAAACCGAGGTAACCGTGCGTTCTTGTGCCTGTTGTTACCCATGACACAATAATGCCTTGAGGGTCCTGTCAAGCTGAAACTCTTGTTGCACTAGCTGGTAGAGAAAGACAGAATAAGATAACATCTCTGCTGTAATGTTACTACCTAAGCAGGCAGCATGGACAAAGCTCAGAAAAAATAAATTCAGCAGAAAAGAAAGAAAAAAAACAAACCACCAAACAAAACAAACAAACAAAAAAAAAATCAAGAAAAATCAACACCACACAAATGTATTGTTGTGATTTTGTGAACATAAAGTTGAGACACAGGTGGGAGAATGGTATGATCCAGCCCAGCACTTGACTATTCCCTTTGGACTCAAAGGGAATATAGCCATACTCTCAGGGTAACCTATGTTTCTGTGTTTCACGTGGTTCTGGTGTCACTCACCTCTGCAGTTCAGCAAAGAGACAGGAACAAGGTCCTGCTCTTTCCTCTTACATTCCTCTTTGCTAGCCGTGTCTACTGTCTCAGTGGTTTTAACCTAATATAATTTTTGTTAAATCAGTTTAAATATTCAATGTATTTAATGTCTATCAGTAGAGTTATGTATAAATATCCTACAGATATCTGTTTTGTATTAAATACAGTTGTTGAAATATTTTTAAGGTCTAGTTTGTGCTTACATACAGTACTTAGATATTTAGGAGGTGGAGATGGACAACCAGTGAACTGACAGACCTAGATAGAAGCATAGACACACCAAAGTCCTAGTGTATGATAAGGCTAAAAGTGTGTTGTTTCTGTGTTACCACTAGGTTTGGGCACTAGTGAAGGAGAAAGGAGAAGGGATAAAATGTATGTTTTGGACCAAAACTATGCAATCCTTTCACCAGGCTGTGAAAAATAATATGGGAAGTACCAAAGAGATGACTTTCAGCTGTTCTATAAACTAGCAAGTGTGCAGCTTTTTCCTGAAGTCTTTACCTTAACAGCAGTCACAGTCAGCTTATAAAGACACCAGTTTCATTTGTGCAAGGTTCCTTTAGCTTGATTCTCTAACTACTGTATTCACCCTTTAAAGTGTAAGAATCTTTCCTACTTGAATTTTTATTTTAGCATTGACAGATGCATGTAGAACATCCTCTTTTGCATGCCCTGTGCATTGGAAGGGTCACTATGGCCAAAACACCCTGAAGAAAAAATAGACAGAGGAATTCACAGCTAAATACTACATGAAATAGGACAGGACATATTTCAGTTAGCATAACATAACAGTGTAGGGGCAAAACAACGTTACTACAAAAAATAGTATTATATATACTGTTCATATATTATTACAAATAAGACAGTATTATATGTATATATATTTAAGATTATTTTCTCCAACAGTACAAATATTCTAGAAACTAATTGGTAAATTTAGTGGGATAATATTAATTCAAAATGTCGTGAGCACCTTTAGCTGTTATGAAATATTTCTACACCCCTGTAATTCTGTAAGATTATCACTGGTTTTCTCTATACTTCTTAGGACTTTGAAATTCATTTATATAATTTATGGATTCAGATATTAGCACATCCCTACTCCACTTTACACATCTGCTCTGCTCTACATTCTTTACTTTCCATCTGTGAAGCCTGCAAAAGTCACTTGGGGCTACAAAAGTACAAGGGTAAGAGGTATTTAACCCCACAGTTTGTGAGCTCCTCAAAGGAAACTACTCCTTAATGCAGCTGGAAAGAAATGTGAACAAACTGATGTTTGTTATGGGTACCTAGTTATAACCTACCTAGTTATAGGCAGGGCAACAGATGCAACCTCCAACATTTAGAAATTTCAAACACAGGAAAAACAAATCCTTTCTCTTTACGGAAACAAAGTATTTCTTTCTGGAAGAGACAGACACCCCTCTTCTGAAGAAGCCAAGATGTCCAAAGGGTTTAGGCTTGCCAGCAACTGAGATATGAATTGCCAACAGAAACATTTGCACTTACAGGAATAACAAACAAAATGTTGCTTGAGTCAACAGCTACTGCCAGCACTTGAAAAAAAAGAAACTTTGGCAACTAACCCTGTATCACAATAGATTCTGAAGTAAGAAAATGCCTTCTTTTCACCACCTAATCAAATGTCTTATTTTAGATTGTGCCAGAACTGAAGGGTAGATGATATTCCCATTAATTCTAACAATTTCATGGGAAAATCTGAAAAGACCTCTCCCTCCAGATCATTCATATGGAGAACATATTCCAGCTTAGTTTAACCGGCAGCCATATGTCACACCTATTCCACTAATAAATAGTTCCCATTGCATGTGTTCAGATTAGTGTCCTTCAGTGTATTATGGCCCGGAAAGTGACCACAGGGACTTATAACTCAGTATGCAAGATTCATTTATTACTAGAAAGGGTTAAACAAATTGGTGTCATTGCTACTAACAGAACCAAGAATATTGTCTAAAAGCAAACTACACCATCATTAGCGCTTACAGTGAGGTTCAGGATGCATCCTTTTATAAAATCTGAGAATGTCACCAGCAGATGGAGTACAGTAGAGGAGCAATATGCCTTTGGTCCATCAGGATATCATCTAGGGAGGAAAAAAATTCATATGTGCTAGCTGTTTAAATTTTTTAAGGGTGTTACTTGAAAGGGAGGAAACATGCTCAAAAAACAACTTTATAAAATAAAAAGAGTTTAGAATTGTTCAGTGATTGTAGGATAGCACAATCTTAAATAGTTTGTGTGATGTGTTTGCTAATGTAATGTGTTTTACATGCACCAAGCTATTTCCATTGACTGCAGATCTCAGAGCATCAGAGTTGTTTTTCTCTGCTTCTTCCACAAAATCTGCTTCATTCTGCTGACATGTTTCATAACTTTCCCTCATACTCTGACACCATTCTATTTGGAGCCTAAGGGTATCCTCCTTCATAATCACTCTCTTTAAGCTTCTGCCTGGATTTACTTTCTTCAAAGACGAGTTCTCTGAGCCTTCCTTTTCCCGAATTTTTAATTTATTACCTCAGCAATAAGTTTCAATAATGTCATGCTGGAAAGGAAGCTACTCTTCAGATTTAGAAAACATGACACTATCTGACTTTCATGCTTTAATTTTGGATGTGACAGTATATCCAGGTCAGCTTACAGTTTTGCATGCATTTATTGGGGAGGCTATTTTCTTGTATTTTCTTTCTGAATATAGGACTGATATTTTGTGTATACTTTTCTACATATCTCTGAAGTGCTTTCTAGCTGAGACTTGAGTGGAAGACATAGCATTTTAAACAAATTTTTGTGTTTAGCTAGCAGAATTCAGGGTTGTACAATATCAATATTTGTTTCAAATATCAGAAATCTGGATTTAAGGTGATGAACACTGAAATAGAGTTATCAACAATCCTGTTGATGCAGGATTTATACAGCTAGTTCAGAGAGGATCTAGTTCAGTGACAGATGTTCATCCAGGGGTAGAAGATGATCCCCTGCCTTCCCATTTCATCTCTCAAGGCCTTAGTACCTTCTATCTCAACAGCCCAGAAAAGTCATTCAGGAATACCACAGAAATTTGTGCTCAGTATTTCAGTTTTACATTCTTTTAATTAAACATTTGTTAATATCCTTTATTTTTTGTTTAAGATAGGGGGAGAAAAACCAATTAATTAATTCCACTCTATTTTGAAATACATTGTCCATGCTCCTACAGACAAAAAAAAATCCTACTGTAGGACACAAAGCACTTCCAGTGATATTGCAGGAATCCCAGAGACTTGCAGTCCAAGAACTTCTGACAAGAGATGAAAATGCAGAACTACAAATATTCATCCTCCAGCTACCAGAGTCACATTGATCAGAGAAGGAAAATTCCCTTTCATTTACTGTTTCTTCACTCCATCTGTCATAATAAGAGAAAAATTAAGGTGTATTTATTCTGTGCGTAAGATTTTCTCTGCTGTTCCCTTCACAGATGGGAGATTGGGAATTGGAGCACTTGCAGTCTTACCTGTGGGGTTGGTTTGCAGACACGAAATGTCTTCTGTTCTCATCTGCTATCAAGAGAGACCAATGAGACCGTGATTTTGGCAGATGAGTTGTGCTCTAAACCCAAGCCATCCCTCGTGCAAGCCTGTAATCGCTTTGACTGCCCACCCTCCTGGTATCCTACAGAATGGCAAGAGGTAAGAATTTATATGTAACCTCACTTTATGCCTGCTTAAAGTCCTCACTGCACACATTTTGGTGGTCGGAAAGCTGAAGCACCACTCCTATGAAGACAGGCTGGAGAGCTTCAGTAGAGACAGCTCCAGGGCAACCACAGAGCAGCCTTACAGTTCATCAGTTATTCCCACAAGAAAGCTAAAGAGAGACTTTTGACAAGGGCACGTAGCAATGGGGCAAAGAGTAATGGAATTAAACTGAAAGAAGGTAGATTTAGTTTAGGTATTAGGAAAAAAATTTTTAGTGTGAGGGTCACGGGGGGGTGGGGGGTCAAACTAGAAGAACTTTTAGGTTCCTTCCAACATACACCATGCTATGATTCTATGGTTTTGCTTTAGCCCATCAACAGGAATCATTCATCATTCTGACAAGCCATTAAAAAACTACAAAGTGTGCATTTTTTGCTCTCAAAAATGCATCAGTATTTCCAGAGGTAAATAATGACTGTAGATATTTCTAATACAAAGTTATTGGAAAATTTTAACAGCTGGCTATAGATTTCAAACAAAAATATCTGGAATATATTGGTCAGCTGCAATGAGTCAACTTGGGTGAGCTAGGAATACTCAAAGTCTCTAGGAATACTAAACTAGAAGAATTAGGGATAAAAGACTCTTTAAAGCATTTTGAGTATTTCATGTATTCTCAAATAATAATTTAGTTTGTACAACAAACATTCCTCATGCTTCAGATTAAGATATGGGTGTTAAACTCTACCCTTTGGGAGATGGATGCTTTATTACACTAATTATAAAAAATCCTGTTTACACAATGGGTCCATACAAGGTTTTCCATTTTAGAAAGCACCCTGAAATGAGTCAATTTGTAAATCTGGTTCAAATTATAATACTTGTGCAATTTAAAAGGCTTAAAGATGCTTCTTTAAGTGGTTGTAATACTAAATTTTTAGTAATACTACTGCAGGAAGAAGGATCCTGCACTATTGTAAAGACAAAAGGAAAAAATTGCTGTGCATTTAAAAAAAAAAAACAAAAACTGTTTAAATCTTCATTTGTGATGTGTGCGAGTCTTCATTCTATCCTATGTGAAAACTATGAGCATTTTGCATAGTGCTTACATATGCCTACTCAGTGTCTGTATATAAAATCTGCTCTTCACTTAACAGCCAGGGAGATATTAATATACTCACCTAATGAACTTGGTAAGTCCATGAAGCTGGGAGAGCTTTGGGTTTAGGCAACCAACTCAGTAAAAAATATTTATTCCAGTCTGATGGCCTGTCAAAGCTAGGTAAAGAGCCTATAGCTTTTGTCCTCTAATTGAAACAACTCAGTGATATTTCATGCTTTAATTTGCCTACTGATATTCACACACACATATATACTTAGTTGTACTTTTGAAAATCTTAACTAGGGGTGTAATGAATGTCATATTTGCAAATAGCGAATAGTATTCTACCAGATCATAACATAATAACAGAAGTTAAGCATTCTAAAATTAGGATATGCTAGAAGAAGCAATTATAACTGGCCACATTCCTTACAGAAAACAATTTTCTGAAAGTGTATGTGAACAATCAGAAGAGATATATGCTATACTATGTGGAAAAATTTATTTTTTCCTAACAGTGACCATTAGCTATAGGCCACACTAGAACGGTACCAAATTGTTTCTGCTAACACTATCTCTAAATTGATTTTTTCAAGATTGTAACATCTTCCTCAACAGTTTAAACATGCATACTTTCACCTGTCTAAAGTAATTTTTCCAACTGTTCAAGGGCTCTCAAATGCTGTCTCTGTAAGGTTTAGCAGATCTTAGTGGGAAAGAAGCTTGATTAAGTCTAAAAGCTTTAACAACTACAATAAGAAATTGAACTGTTCACAAGTTTACACTTGCAGTAGCTGGTATCTTCTCTAGGCTGAGAGACAACCTGTGCTGTGCTTCACTGCTACAGTTCAACAAAGGTCATATTGTAGCTCTTCTGCCTTACTTCCACAGACTTTTCTGGCTGGTCACTGAATATTTCTTTTGTTTACCTTTCACCAGAGGAAAACAGCACAAAAAGTGTGCTTCTCTACCTACTGTCTTCTGCTTCTGTTCAGATGAGTACTGTGCCAGAAAAAAACCTCTAATCCATCAAAATCAATTTCCATTCTCTTATTTTTTAAGGATGTCTGTGTTCCTTCTTTGCAGCACCATCATCTTTATAGATATTTCCACCCTGCAGGAAAGCCAGATCTTGCAGCTCAGTCTCACACGGGTTTCCCATCTGAAAACCTGCACCATGAGGCTCGTGCATTACACTGAGAGATTATTACAGCTGTTGGCCTCTGAGATGTGGAAAGAAAAAAAAAAATCATTTGGAAAGGATGTGAGTGGCTGAGACAACTTCTGGAGGTGACCTCCAGTCATGCATCAAAACTGCTGTAGATGCCTCCAGCAGAAGAAAACCTGAAGAAGGATTTCTTTCCTTGCATTAAGGGACCCACATCTGCCCTCTCCCCAGGCTCCTAAGATTCACCCCATACAGGGAGATGAAAGGGCCTTCAGGAAGGCACCTTCCTCAGCCTAGGGAAGGTCCTTTAAAGCTTCACCAACATGAACATGTAAAATCTGTTCTCCACACAGCGTGATTTCAACACATTTCATTGGCCTCATCAGCAGAGTTTGTGGTGCTTTTCAGAACACTCACTCACAAAAAAAAAAACCCACCAAAAAAACCCCAAAACCCCCCACAAAAAAAACCCACAAAACAAACAAACAAACAAACAAACAAACAAAACCAAAAAAAACCCAGAAGATTTAAACTGTAGTTACCAGCGTTTTCTAAGCCTCTTATGCTTGTAAGGAAGGCTTGTCTGAATTGAATGCCATTCAAAGCCCCAGTGTTGTAACATTACAAACAATTTTTAAAACATCTCCTTACATATTCCATACTATTTATTTTTAAATATTTCTGTGTCTTAATTAAATACATTAGGATCTTTATCATTTTCAGTGGTACGCTTCTGGAGCAGAGTTTAAGCTTTCATTTTACAAGGCCCTATAAATATCTGTTCTCCATACCTGAACTGGGAGACATCCACTAGTAAATCTTCAAACACCTTTGTTTTATTACTGAATAAGTGCTATAGTCTCAGTCCCAACGTTCTTTGTTTGCTCTTGAGTGCTGTCTTTACTCCAAAGATAATTAGAACAATGATTTTAAAACAAAATCAGCATGGGAAAACTGGTAATATTTTCTTGTATTTTCCTATCTATTTTTAATCCATAGCATAAAATGTCTCTTCTAAATCTTCAAGTGTCAGGCCTTAAAAAAATTGAGAGACCTTATAACAAAAAAAATGTTTACTCCTTTTGCAGGTCCATTATCTTATTGTGGAGTCTTAGCAGAGAATTAATTTTTGACAGTAAGGGAAAACCTGTATTCTTACACACCTTAAGTCGAGAGCAGTGTAAAATTAAACTCCATGGGAGACCATGGGACCTGGGGGTCCTGGTCAGTGGAAAGCTGAACATGAGCCAGCAGTGCCCTGGCAGCCAGGAGGGACAACCCTGTCCTGGGGGGCATCAGGCACAGCATCACCAGCGGAGCAAGGGAGGGATTGTCCTGCTCTGCTCTGAGCTGGGGCAGCCTCAGATCAAGTGGTGGGGCAGTTCTGGGTGCCACAATATGAGAAAAAAGTGAAACTGTTAGAGAGTATGCAAAGAAAGGCAACTAGGATGGTGAAGGACCTTGAAGGGGAAGCCATATGAGGAGTGACTCATCGGGTCACTTGGTCTGTTCGGTCTGGAGGAAAACTGAGGACAGACTTCATTGCAGTCTGCAGTTGCCTTGTGAGGGGACAAAGAGTAGCAGACACTGATCTCTTCTCTGTGCTGACCAGTGACAGGACCCAAGGGAATGGCCTAAAGCTGTGTGAGGCGAGGTTTAGGTTGGATATCAAGATAATGTTCTTCACCCAGAGAGTGGTTGGAGCATGGAAAGAGCTCCCCAGGAAAGTGGTCACAGCATCAGATTGAAGGTATCCAAGAAGCATTTGGACAATGCTCTCAGGCACAAGGTGTGACTCTTGGGGTGTCCTGTGCAGGAACAACCCTATATAAGTGAATAAAGTCCAAGAAGCAAGAAAATACATGTTTTGTCTTATCTTTGGTAGAGCTGGAAGGGCAAAAAGACTTCCTGAGATTTGACTGATTGACAGCAGTATCATACTTTGTGATATTCATAGTCTGTAATCCATTTTTTATCTTGTGTATGATAAAAGTTTTTAGGAAATGTTGGAATAATACTTTTAATCATTTTTTTCTTCCTCCTCTGGAATGAATTTTCCTCTAATGAGAGGCTCATAGACATTTTCTTCTGTTGAAAAGAATGTTTTTCTTGCTTAATTTTTTGGTAGCCTTTGAGCTTTGTAACATTCTAAATAAGTAGGACAAAAGCTAATTTTACACATTAAAATAACCCAAATATAAAAATGGCTTTCTGCACTTCCTTTCTATCTTTCAAATAAAATGTTTATCCTAAATATTCAGGCTAGCATTAAAGTTTATGCAGCTCTTTATCTAAGATAGGAGGGTCTTTCATGCCTGCAAGATTTTTTAAAACTTTCTTTTTAACTGCTTAAGTATACTTTTTAATACTTCTCTATATTATTGTCTGCCTCTCTTGAATAATTGCCATGTCACAAGATATAGGCAACTGCTGGTCATGTCAGGGGTGTAATGCAAACTCTCCCTTTCCTTTTCTAAAAGGAGAAAAGGAGTTGAGCTGGCTGAACTGAGCAGAACTGGGAGTCTTTTACCAGCCTCAGGAAAAGGATCCTCAGGAAAAAGGACTGAGCAACTAAATTCACAGAAATTATTCAGGAAAGCTACTAAATTTGGTTACTCAATACTTCCTGCCCTGCTTGAGTAGAAAAATAAATAGAGAAATATTTTTACATTAAAGACGGAGGAGAGATGTATTCTCTGGATATTAATCATTGCAATTTACTTACCTACTGCTGGACAAGATTTTCCCACTCTTTCTGACACTGTTCGTGTCAGAGCCCAGACAGAGATACTAGTATTTAGATTCTCCACATCACATGCAAATGTCTAATTTTCCAGGTGGAGAGGACAAATTTCCCACCTCCATTCTGCAATGCTGACTCACTGTTTCCATGTCTTTTGAAACAATACCGTAAAACAGAACACTTCAGAAATACTGAAACAATTTTTCTCAATATTAGCAAACTAAACTTCTTCCCTTTTCCAAAATAATATTGACTTTTTTAAAGCAGTCTACTTTGAGGTCTCTGAAATTTTTGTTTCATGTTTTCTATTTGGCCGAGACCAAGTGTTGATTTCTACCCTAGTTTACAAGCAATTTTTGCAGCAAGTGGGATGGTGCAGGTGTCATATGAGGTTTCTCTCTTTTCTCACAGTGTTCACAGACCTGTGGTGGTGGTGTCCAGAAGCGAGATACACTTTGTAAGCAGCGCCTGGCAGATGGAAGCTTGTTAGAGCTGCCAGAATCCTTCTGCTCCATGCCAAGGACCGTTACACAACAAGCCTGCAAAAACGAGGATTGTCCCAATGAGTGGCTTCTCTCTGACTGGACACAGGTATGCTATCTGCATGCATGAGTATTGTACAGATCTTGGAGAGTGCCTAAGCCAGTTGGGATAGAGGAGCCAAATAAAGTCAGATCCCACACAGCATGTTATGCCCAGTTTTGTCCTGTAATCTGTCCTTATCATCCTGGTTGGATGATTATTGCTAGCTCCATGTTCCTCTTTGGTGTCCACCTCCACAGGTGTGCTTTAGCCATCTGGCCAAACCATTAAGACCCTTCCAGTATAAACACAAGTTGCACTCAAAACAATAAATCCCTGCCTCTGTCCATGCCTCTTCTTATTCCATCCAAGGCATCAACGAAGGGTAATCTTTATTAGGCTACATGCCCTTTGTTGTCAAAACCTAGATATTCTGTTGTCAATACTCTTTTCCTCTTGGGGCAACTCCAGTCCTTTCCTATGATAAAGAGAATAGAAAAGGGGGAAGGAACAGGAGAAGAGGGGAAGGAACAGGAGAAGAGGGGAAGGGGAAGGAGATTCTATGAAAATATAATTTTACTTTATAAGGTCAAAGCAAAAGCAAAGGTTCATGCCAGTAAGCATGAAAATCATTCCACATCTTGCAGTCTCTGCCACCACTCTTCCAGTCCTCTTTCACAGAAGGTAGTGGAAATTGTCTTGTGGAAATTGTAAAGGAAATGCCAATCACCCTACAGAGCAGTCCCATCTGCACCCTTCTTATAGGGATCTGTCTGGGAATTTTACTCAGATTAGTGGATGTTTTCATAAAGTCTTCTTGCCAGGAGACACATAGCCATTCTGGCAGTGAAGGTGGTAATTACAGTTCTCTACCCATTTTCTAGCTCTTTTTACAGACTGTTGCTTGGGTTCCAGTGCAAAGGCACTACCTGTATTTCATTTTCCACAATGTTATATACATAAATATGAAACTGAATAGTCATGATTAAGTCCATCAAATAATGTCCACCTGTGCAACAGCCTCTGCAGTCTAGTATTAGAGGATTTATACTATTCAGTGTAAGCCATATGTATAACTACAAGGCTGAGGTAATGAATTAGTGACTAAAATATTCATCCCTTTATTATTCCTAAATATATTTGCAACAGCAAAGCTTAAAGATTAAGCTTAGGCCAGATTTTATCACACCAGAATGCAACTGTGATCTGCAATTCCATGAGGTCTGCTCTTGGACATGAGCTGGAATTTTTCCAGCCAGCAGACACAGACACAGAAACAAAGTTCAAAGACTGGTTTGAGCTGTAGCACAGTACCATTGAAACAAGGGACACCATCTGACAGAAAAGTGAAAACAGGAGCATGGAAAGAACCTAAGCCTTACAGGACAGAAAATAACAAGTATTTAATCTCTTTACTGTGCCTGCACTGTTTGTAGGTGCATGGTCAAATGCTGCTCTTCTTTATTCTGCTGCAACATTTTGAAAACTGTAACTGTTCTATCCTGTGGTGTGTGTATGCAGTGTGGATATGGGAGGTGAGGAGGGAGCGTGTGACGAGGAGCACCTTTTTTGTTTCTCCTAATGTTTCTCATCCTGTTCCTAGTGTTCAGTAAGCTGTGGAGAAGGCACACAGAGCCGAAATGCTATTTGCAGAAAGATGCTGAAAACTGGGGACTTTGTTATCATCAATTCCTCACTCTGCCTCCCTTTGCCATTCTCATCCTTGATCAGGCCTTGTTTACTGAGCCCCTGTGCAAGTAAGTGGAAAAGGTGTTTGGCAGTGTCTGGGGAAAGGGGATTGGAAGTCCTTCACTAAGAAATCCATGCTATTTCCTGCTCCACAGCCTTCTTTCATGGTAGTATTACTCAGTCTTGTGGAGTGGGTTTTTCTGTCTGTGAACAAGTCAAGCCAGTGGAGGAGCGCTACGGATTTCACTAATGGAGCTGGATGTAAGCCAGTGTGCTGGAAGGGAACCACTAGTTTCTGGAAGAACTGGCTCAAAATTCTGACCAAAATCTAGATCTGAATTTCACAGCTGGAATGTAGAGGCTGAGAGATACAGCACAGCAGCCTGAGGGCTGGAGCAAATAAACACTCTGCTAGAAAAGCTGCAAGGAAAATGGTTGGTAAGGGATTGCTGACAATCATTTAGAAACTTTTTGTTTCATTATGTCACTCCAAATCCTCTATGACCTGAGATTTCTAATGAACCACACAACACAAGTTAGATGTATTTTATGTTGGTAGTTCATGCATTTGTTTTCGCTCATCACAACTCTGCCTGTATACTCTTCCCTATTTTGCAGTAAGCCAATTGGACATGGAAAAGTCAGCCTAGCTTCAGCTTGACTCTGAAACTGCTGAATGTTGGGTGTATAGGGAGAAAAGAAGATCTGACATTTAGAACCAAAGCCTGGACTGAATGTTGCATGGTATTTACTAATAATGTGCCCATGCAGCTTAATTTAGTGCTTTGTAATAAAGATCTCTGACACAGGTATCAAGAAACCAGAAGGACACACTGAACTAATGCACTTTAATAGTATTTACCATGTTTTTAAGCCTAGCCAAGAGAGTTTAGTTCTGTTCAACATTACTCCTTGAGGTAGAAAGACTTTCATTCTTCCTTACTTTTATGAGCTGCAAGATCATGTTGTTTTTGAAGGTTTGGATGGTAAACACTTGTCTATTTGGTCCATTTCTTATATAACAGTCTTTGTTTAAATACTTTAATAACAAGAGCTATGTTTCCACTCAAGTTTTTTTTCTCTCCCACAAAGCTTTTGTTCCTAGCTGTTTGGTTTCTGCATATACTCTACTTTCACATTCCTGAAGTGTGTCTTGTGATTCCTCTTATTTTGATTGTTCTAATTTAATGTCCAGCAACTGGTGGTCGGTTTCTCTCATTAATTGTATAATGGGTCAAATGCTGCCCACAACAATGTAAACTAGTTGTTTTGTTTAGTGGTATCACATACTAATTATATAATGGTGTTTCAGGGCACAACAGACCAGCTCATAAGCAAAGCCCCCATATTATGGCTGTAAAGCAAGTTTACATCCAGACAAGGAAGCAGAAGAAACTGCATTTCATTGTGGGTGGACATGCCTACCTGCTGCCCAAAACTTCTGTTATCCTCCGATGCCCTACCAGGAGGTTCCGGAAGTCAATGATCACTTGGGAGAAGGATAACAAGAGGCTTGTCAGCTCGTCTCACATCACGATTGCACCCTATGGCTACATGAAAATCCATCATCTGAAGCCTTCAGATGCTGGGACATACACCTGCACAGCAGGGCCAGCCCGGGAGCATTTCATAATTAAATTGATTGGAAGCAACAAGAAGATCATTGCTGGGCAGCCAGCTGGTGTTAGGGAGGAAGAAGTCATGAGAAAGGCCGGCTTAAATGATGCCTTGCGCACAGAGGATAAACAGTTCAATGGGATTTTCTTCAATGGTAGCAAGGCTGAGAAGCGAGGGCACCTTGCTAACCCCAGCAGATGGTATGACAATATTGTCTCAAGGCTGCTACAGCTCAGGGGCTGGCCAGGGGAAAATTTGGAGTCCTGGGAAGCCCAGGAGTCCATGGAGAGAAATGCATCCTCAGAAGAGGACCAGAGCCGGGAGCATAGCCTGCCATTTACTATGGTCACAGAGCAGAAACGCTTCGATGATATAATAAGGAATTTGTCACAACAACCTGAGGAGCTTAAAGATATTTACACTGAGCATCTTGTTGTGCAGTTGGCTCAGGAGATTTTCAAGAGCTACTTGGAGCACCAGGAATTTGTCCTCAAAGCATCAAGGCGAAAAGTTGATTCAGCCTCCGTGGAGTACCCTCTCCACAGACGTGTTTCTGGATTTACCAGCTCCCTGAGGACATCATCTGCTGAAACATTTATTCCCACCTCTGTAAACCTGGCAAATGGCTTATACAGGCCTCATCAAAAGCCTGCCATCCTCCGAAAGATTTCAGCAGCACAACAACTTTCTGCTTCAGAGGTTGTCACCCACCTGGGACAGACAGTGGTCCTAGCGAGTGGCACACTGAGTGTGCTGCTTCACTGTGAAGCAGTGGGAAACCCAAAGCCCACCATCAGCTGGGCTAAGAATGGAGAGGAAGTGAAATACAATGATAGGTAAAGCATGTTATTTAACTTTTAAGAAAACAATTGATATTTTGACTCATCACTTTCCATGTTTTACCTCCTGTCAGTCCCATGGACAAAGCCATATTTTGCTGTAGTCTGATTTCATAACAGAAAGAAGGGCAAGTGCATGGGAGGTGGTAAATGGGTTAAACAGGCCACTGTAACTCTTCAGCAAGGTCTGGATGGTGGGTCAGATTTGTGTGGCAAACAGGAACTTTACTTCTGTTTAAGTAAAAAAGACAGGATTATAGAGTAATGTGGACATAAGGGATATAAGTGCCTAATACATTCTACAGAGCACTCTGCATCCAGAGACTGGGAGCCTTAGTTTATTTTCCCTGCTGAAGGCAGAGATTTTTGCTATGAAGATAGATATTGAAATATGAAAACTGGTCACTAGCTGTTACTAGTGTCCTCTATCAGAGCTGAAATTGCATTTCTCCTAGTGCTCCAGGAGGGCCTGACAGACAAGGCTGAGGTAAGAGAAGATGAAGGAGATGAGGCTTCGGCCTTCAGTATATGTATCCATGCATTAAACTGACCCAGGATAAACCTCAAAGGGCATGACAATCACCACGTACTGCATATGTTCTGATGAAGGCCATAAACTGTGGAACCACACTGCATGGCTCTTTGCAGCTTTGCTGTCATCTCAACAGACCTATCATTTAGCATTTGTCTTCTCATGTGAATTGGTGAATCCTCATCCATTTAAATTCTGGAAGGATGGTCACAGATGTAACCTGAGAAGCTGACATAAGTCAATGCGAAGGAACAGGAGAAGCAACAATGCTTTAATCAGTATACCACAACAATTATGTTGTCTTTCCTTCAGGTAGCCTTTACTTTCTGTCACTCCACATTATTAATTTGTGTGGAAGAGCACACAGAAAGAGGTCATTTTCGGTACAAGTTATATGCTTAGATGTGTTGATAACACACATTCTTCTCATGCGTATGCTTGAGATTTTCTATTTTGGTTCTGTTCTGTGAGAAATCAGTATATAAGAACACAAAAATAGTGTAGTAGGCAGTAATAATGAACAGCATAGTAATAATGATCAACAAAGTTGTCAAGGATCTGCTAGCAATTCCTTCTGCACAAGATACCACAGCTAAGACATATATAGATATAGATATAGATATAGATATAGATATAGATATAGATATAGATATAGATATAGATATAGATATAGATATAGATATAATATTTTATATATATTGTGTTTAATATGTATATAAGACATATACGTAATAAGGTCATGAGAAAAGATAGAAGCAAGACAAAAAATTAATTTCCAGTGTGCTGCCCTTGGATCATCCACTAAAATCTTGATTTAGGTAAAATTGCCCCTTCTATACAGTTATGAAATTTGTTTATTAGCTCCTTCTTTAATTTGACTATTGAATCAATGAAAAAATAATTGCTTTCTATAATGATCTGAGTTTCCTGGTTCTTGCCTCTGTGTCTGAAGGCTAATAAGAATATTAATTTTTTTTAAAAAAGGTAACTTTTGAAGGGGTAGAGAACTGAGAACAAGAATGTACCTCTGGTGGAAATCACACGCAGTCATAATCATAACTTGGATATACAGAATCCTTTCATTCGGACATACTCCCGTGAAAATATCTGTAGGCTCCCCCCAAAACAAGTTTCATATATAAATTTTCATCTAGTGGTTATATCCCATTAGAATTAGGCCATTGAGTTGGGTTTTTTCTCTACTTGAAATAACTGTAACTTCTGTGGTATCCATGAAAGTGAAGGGATGCTACATAAATTTCACATATGAGTAATGCTAGACACTACAGTCATGAGAAACTGGCAAGTTTATTTCACACCCTATATGCTGTCATGGTACCACAACAAGTAGATTAATTTAGCTGAAATAAAAGACACATGATTCCTGAAATTTTAGTTCAGATAGTTTTATATATAATTTCTCAGTTCCTTTTCAATCCTTTTTTTTTTTTTTCCCCATTCAATTTCACTGAAATAGGCTTAAATGTTGTGTTTTGCTTCTGAATTATCAGTCAGTTGTGTGTGCGCTCAAAATTTCCATCAGAAAGTCTCAGGAAGTATAACTTATTTTCTAGTTAGTGTCATAAGTCGTTGACAACTCTTCTTTAAATGTTGAGGCAGTTTTCACTTTATGAACTTCCTTTTGTACTCATCATTTATAGTTCCCACAGGCTATTGTTGGGGGGAAGAAATGACCATGCTCTGAGCTTCAGATGTAACTCAGCATCTATATCTTTGGAGTTAATGGGAGTTTAGAAATTGTGGTGTATAAAAAATTGTTTTGTGGATTTTTTTGCAGGGTTCTTTAGGAGCAGTGTTCTGGTTTTGGCTCAAAATGCTCTTGCTGCCTGTAAGTCAGTAGTGTCAATGGAAGCTGAAGTTTAAGCAGCCTTACAGTGTACTGCTGTAAACTGCAAGGCCACAGATGTAAAACATGTAGTGGTGTTGGGTATGCTTGAACTGTCCTCCAGCTCTGCAGTTTGTTTTCTTCGTACTTTGCCAGGCTTTGAATGGAGAAGAGGATTTTCCATCCCACCTCTGTCTTAATGGGAATAAGAAAATAAGTAGAGGTGGGGTTTCCTGTACCAGTATCAGAGAGAGACACTTTTGCTGAGAATGGCCAGACAGTAGTGCTGAAGTTCCTCAGGTCACACCCGACTGAATGTACTGAGATTTCAGAAGTATCTGGTTGGTATTGCAATTCTCAGATAGGCTGCTGGTTTTAGGTTGGGTGACAGCGACCTGTTTTGTATATAAAAACCACTGAGATAAAGGTGTTCACTTTCACACATTGTGGCCATAGATTTTATCTGAGCCAGTGATGTCCAGTAATGATGCTTGATGTATGGCTCTATTCTCATTGCCCCATTCCGTGAGCTGTTTCATCCACCTGAAAGTATGACTCCTACTGCATGGCTATCCTTGCAAAAATTAATTTTCTTTAGCTTTAGTCTGGGTACAGTTACAAAAATATATAACACAGGCCCTCAAAAAGTGCTGGTTTTCAGTTACTCAATAGAATGAAAACATATGACACAAATAGCTTTAACAGTTGAAAATATCTGTGGTTCCAGTAAAAGATCCCCTACTTGTGTCTGCATATGCAGCCTGAGTGCATATTTAACTGCAGACTCCATACTCTCTCATAAGGTTAAAGCATCAACACCAGCATGGGTTCTGAATGCCCTTTCAGAGCCTACTAGTATCCATACCAAAGTTTTTAGGCTGCTGTAGATGTTGGAAAATGTATTAATTTAGAGAAAATTCAGATTAGGTTCCTTAGGAATCTGTGTTAAAGGTGAAAAATCTTTGAGGAATCTATGCATTGTTTAGTAAGCCTTGTAAGTATGCTGCAATTTCTGTCACTGGGGATCCATTGGTAGCTGATAATTCAACTTCTCTAAAATAGAAATAAGTTTTATAAAAGGACATGATGCAGCATGTGAATACTAAGTGGTATGGAGATAGGTGTTTGTGAGGTGCTGTCTGATTTAGCCATTGATATATATCCTGCAAAATACTTTTTTGTCTTTGAGGCAAAGTGTGGAGCAACTAAGATGAGACTAATTAAATATTAAGCTGTATTATTTTCAGTCTATAAATGAGATTCTGAAGACATGCTAGTGACATAAAGAATTGCTACAGTTGTTTGTTGTTTTTTTTTCCCACCCCTGACAAGCAACTCGATACCTAACAAAAATAGCAGTCTATGAGCAAGTAGGGAATTCAGCCAAAATAATTCTTTACAAAGAGGAATAATAAAGCATCTGCTCTCAAGAAAAGCAGTTATGCCAAACTGGGATGCACTAATAACAGAATTACTGAAAAGAAGAGGACATTATATTTGTTTCTGGAGAAGGACATTAAAACTTGGGTTGAGAGGACAGGAGGATGGAGCTGTTTTGGAGTTAATTTTTTTTAAAAAATCAAGTATCTTCCTGGACTACTTCTATTTCTAAAAATATTTGTGCTGGATCTTGAGGTGACTGAAACTGACAGAGAGAGGTTTATGTCAGGAGAGGTGATTAACAACAAAAAAAATTATGCATCCTTGTGTTTTATAAGGTGTAATATTAGGCAAGATCTTTCCTCAACCTGAAGATGTCAGAAACATTAATTAAAACTATTTTAGGGATCTTGTAAGCTAGTTTGGTGTAGACTGGAAGATCTGCCTACATACTATATTTGCAGACACGCAGACAGAACACACAGAACTTTTAAATGTTACAGGCTGTTACAATTTGGGACAACTTCTGAAGATTTAATTAATTCCAGGTAATGATTGAAGCAGTCAGTGTTAAACTAAAAATTTATGTGTGAGATACTGATGCATGCAAACATTAGTTCTGCAAGCAAAAAAATCTGTTAGTTACTGTCATTGTTAGCAGTGGCTATCTAGTCAGCCCTGCTTATGACTAAGAGGTAAGAAAAACAACCTTGAAAGCAAAAGTGGGAAGGGAATTAATTCAGCCATTGGTGGTTTTTGTGTGAAAGCACAGATGCAATTCTAAAAGTATTAAAGTTTTTTTGCAAATGTGGAATTTTCTAAGCATTTACAAAACTTGTTTAACAGACAGATTTTTTATTGATAATGACTACTTTTATTATTACTCAGAAAAGGGTAAAAAAAAATGTTAACTGGAGTTTTTTCCTATAATAGATTCTTCTGGGTGGCCCTAATCTGGTTTGTTTTAGAGATCTACCACCCACAGTGTTGTACAAAATAGAGTATCTGTGGCTTTTTGGTCCACGAGACAAGAGTTTTTATTGTGAGGATGGGAGTGTAAAGAAACTCATCAATTCCAGGATCTGTGTGCAGACTTTCATTGCATGTGTTTCACAGGCATATCCCTCCCCCAGTTTTACCCTTGCCACTGTCAATCACAGCTTCAACTACGTTTACAAGCAACAGCTGCTGAAAGTTGCTGATGAGAACAGTATGATTAGATATTACCAACAGTATCAGCTAAAAAGAAAACTCAGAGAAAGCAGCAGTAATCATGAGACACAATGTGATGAAAATAAGGGCACATAAGCATTGACACAAACCCATGGATTGAATTCTTGCTGAAATAGGGGTATGTCAGGACCTTAAGAGTTACAATGCTGCAAAACCAGACAGTGGAAAGAAGCAGTTCATCAGAGCACTAAGACCATATTAATTCCATTTAACCATAGGCAATACACTGAGCTCGTGGTAGGCTCCTCTTACTGGCAGAGGAAAGTGTTCAAGGAGAAGTGAGAAGTCCTCTCTATTTTCACTGACTATTAGGGAAGAATCAAGACTGCTGAGTTTGCACAAGATGATCACCAGTAAAAGAATCTGAACCTATTTCAGGCTTTAACACTGACCCTGTGGTTCACTTCTTTCTGCATAACTTCAGCATGTTTCATGATTTTTCCTTTTCAATAATTTAGCTTTTTCTTACTATTACTATTCCTATACTGCAGAACTGGAAGATAGCAAAGCTAGGGAACTCACTCAGCATTATGCAGCAGACAAGGAGGTTTCACTGGGCAGATGTCCTAATTACTCGGCAATCTTTCTTTAATACGCATACCAGCAATAGAGGAACTGGGAATGAGACTAAAATTTAATTTAAGTAATCACAAGTGGCAGTCTCAATGTAAGAATTTAAATTGCTTCATAGATTTTAAAATATAACCTAAAGACCTGATCTATAAAAAATATTACCTAAGCCTGAAAATTCCCAGTAAATATGTTCATGTTCACATAGACTAAAAGACTATTACATCTTTCCTTCTGCTTTATGCCAGGTTGCTCCTTCAGCCTGATGACTCCTTACAGATTCTAGCACCCGTGGAATCTGATGTGGGTTTCTATGCTTGCAATGCATCCAATGCCCTGGGATCTGACTCTGTCTCCATTGCTGTCACCCTAGCAGGTAATAGTTTAACCTCTGTGATTGCAGGATGGTCCATTGTTTGTGTGAATTTGGGCAGAAGTTGTTTGTGGGGGAACAGATGGCTGCTAAAGCTGTGTAACATGCATCAACAGAAGTACACTGGTGAAAACACAGGGTGTGAGCTCTGCAAAAACCTACCTGAGGCATAGTCCAGCTTTCATAAATAGTTCATGAGGTTTATGTGTCTCTGCAAGACATCAATGCTTTTTCTCACTTGTATCTGACATGCTCTTAACACAGAGCTTATCCTGGTTATTTGCAGCCTATAGGGACAGTGCAGTCCAAGCCTCCCAACTCCTGTGCTTCATTTTAAACCTAACACTGATCTCTTCAAGTATAACAGATGGATTGCAGGACTTCCTAAAGTGTACATTAGGCAACCCAGAAAACTTCCAGAGCTGAATAACTATCTTTCACAGTATCAAACACTTTATCATATTCAATCACAAGTGTGGCTGACACTGTTTCAATTGTAGCAAATGAAGGTTCTCAAAAAATTAAATTCTGTTTTTCTATTCCTCTATTAATGGGTTGTAAAGCAGACTAAATATCCTGTGCTGGGTTATAAATAAATTCTAAAGAAAACTCATCCAGATAAAAAAGATGGCAAAGAGATTTAGAAGCATGAATCCAGATTCTTCAGGGTTCCCTAGCAAACATGGTCAGCAGGCTCACAACCACATCAGGACTAGCAGAAGGGAGCAGCAATCACAAATAAAGAGCTGTTCAGAAAGATATAGGAACGGAACAATGACAGGACAGAGACTGTGACAAGACAGAGAGGATCCTATTTATTACCAAGGCAGAAGTAAACGTGCTAGGAATGCTGGAAAACTTACTGATTTTGCAGACTTATCCATTTTGCTGCTTCAGCATGTGAAATGCTTGAAGGCTTCCAATGCATAGGCAGCAACCACCAGCTGCCATTGTATCCTTGTATGACTAGAGGAAAGAATAGCTGTTTGTAAGCTTTAATTTTTAAAAATAATTTTTTACACCAAACACAGAGAAACTTCAGTTAAGAGAAGCATAAAGAAGATGCAAGAAGGCAACAGTGGGTAACAGTAAAGCTTATAAGTTCAGTAAATCAACTAGAAAGAGACTTTGTCTCATCTTTTAGCAGAACAGGTGAATCTTCCAGAGCAAAAAAGAAAGATTTGCATTAGAGCTACAAATTATATGTAGGCAAAACTGAAGAGACTGATCCTTTTTACACTACTACTATCAGAAATGCCTTTGCTGAACTCCAGGCAGCAGGGTAGCAGTGCTGCTGTTAGGGTAGTGTCATCATATTTTAGAGGAAGTAGCTCCACACTAAACCTCTAATGTTGCACCGGCATGAAGCTGAACATGACATTAAAAAATCATCAGTAATAACTGCTATTCTGTCCACATTGTTCCAGTGAGTGTAAAAGCCATAGTTTTTGGAAACTGTGGAATTGTGGAAACAATTGTGGAAAAAAATTTGTATAACATTGTGAAAAATAAAGTGTTAGTTACACATGTGGCACAGGAAAACTTTTAGCTTTTTTGATTATAATTAATTATCAAAGCTATAATTTAAACTTTTAGGTGAATTAACATTCATGCTTCTCAGACTCAATCAGAACCCCTCTTAGGAACTTGTATACTTTTGCATTTCACATCCAAGGCAAAGAGCTGAATAGCCTATAAAATGAGGCCATAAATATCAAAGTGAAATACAGAGCAGTTTTTGGAACGAAGTAACAATCTTTTTGGCATAATGGAAGTATTTTCTCCAAAAAACCTGGAAAGCTGAGATCATCTTTAGAGGAATCAAGAGTGAGGCTGAAAGCTTATTTCATTGAAGAATTTTCTGATTCATTTAACACATGCATGGAAAAAAAAGACAGTGGAATATGCTCCTTTTTGCTTTCTCAATGGTTTCCTACTTATTTATGGGTTGAACAGCTAAAAGATTTTTAATCTTGTGGTGGGCTTATGGAAACCAATCAGGAAAATATAAGGCTGATGGATAACTGAAGAATTTTTATTTTCTTCAAACTTTGCCAAAAAGTATCAAAACTTTGGAATTATTTCAACAATGAAATGTAGTATTTTACTTAGCTATTCTTGGGCATTAAAACCACAAAAATAAGATAATGTAAAGTACAAAAAAAAAATACCAAACTGATATGACAGGAGTTCCAGATGAATGGTTATCTTTTAAAAGCCCTGAAAATACAGCTGGATGGAGAGATTTATATTTAAGACTGTATTAAATTTTCAGAAATATTCCATGAGCTCAATGAAATAAAATTCTTTTTCTCACATCCATCTTTTCTTTGTTGGTCAGCACCAAATTAACATACAAATAAAGCTAATGATAGACATTAGCCTAAAGCTGCAGCTTTTGGAGGCAAACGATGATATCTGGTTTTGTATCTGACCATTTATTTAAAATTGGGAAAGAAAAAAAAAGGTGTTTATAGATTTTTGGAAAATTATGTGTTTGAAAATGCAACACTGAGTCAAAGACATCCAAGTCCCACACCATTTAAAGCAATTGTGTTGCGTTCTGCTACTCCTGCAACATTCTGACTGCAGGGCACTTTCTCTGAGACAGGGGAGCACCTTAATTCAGCTCTTGTCAGCTCTGCTGCATTGGTCTTCCCTCTCAAAGGTAAGCTTGGGTACCTCTGACCTGTTTCGTAAGTATCCCTTTGCTGTAACCCTACAAAAGGATTTGCAGAAGGCTTCTTGAGCCATTGATGGTGGATAACTTCCTAAGTAATCCCACAAAGACACAACAGCAAACACCTTGACTTGCTGTCACCAGTGTTGAAACCACCACCACTTTATTGTGGGCAAAGCAGTATCTCTATTAGAGATAAAACCCTTCCCAATAGATAACCTGATTTGTTTTATCTAACATGTGTAGTAATGAATTAATACCATTTATATCCCTCATCTTCTTGTGCTGGCCATTATGAGAAAACTTTCTGGTTATGATATAACCAGTGTTATATCATAACCAGGGGTTATGAAACAGTGTTTCGCCTGTAGGTTAAGGAAACCATGATCAATGTGTAGAAACGGCTTGCATGTTGCTCTAAACTTTCTCTGCTGGGCCTGTAGCCATCACTCAGGCTCCTGTGTTTGGTCTTTACCAAAGGGAGGTAATGCAGTTGCAGCACCAGGCAAACATCTTGCTGCAGCTCCAGTTGTGCTGGTGTTTATTGATTCAGCTGGTTCTCCTGTATGGCCATATGGCTTTAATGCTATTCTGCCTCTGCTTCAAGTGTGCTTTTTCATTTTTCAAGACAGCTTTACCCATGGAATTTGGTGACACTGAAATATTATAAAAAGCAGATGGCCTCACATTTCATTTTCCTTTATCCACCTGTCTGTTGTGTGTACTTTCACAAAGAGTCTTCCAGCCCATCTATCCCACTGTAAGTCCAATGTGCTTGGTATGATAAACTGTGATGCTTCTCTTACGCAGGAAAGCCACTGATAAAGGCATCAAGAGCTACCATGATTAACACTGAATCACCTGCTGTCACTGTTGATATTGGAAGCATGCTGAAAACAATCCAGAAAGCAAATGTTAGCATTAACTGCCAGGTCGCAGGTAAAAATTTATTCTCTCCTGTGTGGGTGCCTTTGGCTATAAATTTCTGCGGGATTCTTCGTTGTTAAATGTTAAATTGGCATCTCCAGGTGCAGCTGAGCGAAATTGCAAGGTTTTCCTAGGTCTCAGGCAAGCTTCATTGTTTCCATTAATTCTTACCACAGAACTGGTCCTCCTTTTATCCATATCAAACTAGGCAAGTGTAGTGGCTTAAGAAAAACTGGCTCAAAAAAAATTTCACTCCATGGGACAGGCATCAATGTAAGAGATACACTGTATGGTGTGGATGAAACAAAGTTGATGCACATACCTGTTAGGGATGTTTGACAATACACAAGCATGGACTGATTAATTTCATCACTTACAGGGTTTTTAAAAATCACTCCAACTAGTTTCTTCTTTTTCTGCCAAACTTATTTTACATTAAAGGCTTGTTAGTGCTCTTTTTTTCTGTTTTTTTTTCCTTTTTTTTTCGTCTCAGAAGTGCAGGAGTTCAGAGGAATTCTACTGAAACAGGATTTTCCCTAAAACTGTTTTCCAGTCAGAGACTGAATGTCCCTTAGTCTAACAGTGACAGGTTGCCTCTTTCCAGTGGTAACCAAAATAGATTGACCTTATCTGTGTGTGGCAGTCCTGTGGCTGTTGGTAAGAATGATATTGATATTGGGAGGAGGAGCTGGGAAATCTCTAAAGACCTGGGACCATACCATGGATTCGTTTCACTTTTATGCATAATATGACACTCTCTTGCAATCAGACTGATGTCCAATGACTTTCAAGGAAGAAGATGAAAGTGATACCTGTTTTTTTCCCCAGGCCTCACCATGCTCATTTGCGTGGACATTGTGAGAAAGAGACTAAATATTACATTAACAGAAATTATTTTGGATTTCTCTCTCTGGGTTCTCTTAGCTGCCCAGACACATAACCCACAGATTCAGACAGTTATTGCTGTTGTAAGAGGTGTAGCTGTTTCTCTTCAGTATAAAAGAATCATGTAAACAACCGAATGTGACTAAACAAAGTTGCAACAGTACTTATAATATCAGAAAACTACAGGAGGGAAGCACAAAATGGTCAGGGGCACAGAGATCCAAAAAATAGATATTTTCTGAGAGGAAAATAATCTCTAGCAATTTTGTGACACTCACCCACTATGGCAATGTCCAACATGGAAAATTTAAGCAGTGTCTTCTCATCTAGGAGAAGGCTTTTTGCTATCTAGTAACTGTGTATTGGAATCTTCTATGACACAAGAAATTTTCTTAAATCCTAATTTTCTCCATGGGTGAAAAAAAAATCTTCTGCTACTGCCTCCACAGAAAATGTTAACTATATTGTCACCAGAGATTAATGCTCTTGAAATTATCTTAAAATCATAAACCACAAACTGTGGTTTACCAAGAGAATAAGAGAGTGAGTAATGAGGGCAGATATGTTTTATGGGCATTAGAATCCTAATTTCATAAAAAGAGTGTTAATAATTCAACAGCAATTACAAAATATGCTACCTTGAGAAATGATCCACGAACAGCAATTTCCATCAACTGTTTCACCTACACTTGAAAAATGAACCATCTCATAAAACCTGTAACATAGTATGAGAATAAATGCAATTTTCCTATTAATATAAGCACAAACTTTTTGTTTTAGCATCAGATTTATGATTATCCAGCCTTCTATATATTTTTGATCATCCTTAACAATCAATTCTAAGGATAAGAGTAACATGCACTATTTCTGCAGTCAGCAAATGTGTTGTATCTTTATGACTTCTTTAGAGGAGATGAATTTTACATCTGTATAGTTTGCTAAAGCTCCCCAGAAAACATTAACAATTAAATGGCTACTAAATCGTAGTAAATTAACATGCAACAGGTAATGCAATAACATCTGGCAATAAAAAATAGATTAGGATGTGAGAACAAAGTTAACACAGTTAGAAAGCAAAGTAGCATAACCAGAAATTATGTGGAGACTTGTCTAGATGAAAACAGTTATTCACACAGTCATGTAACACTACAGTTTTTTTCCTTCTAGTACTTTCTCTCTAGTCATGTCAGAATGTCCTGAGCCAGCAAAACTAATGAGAGCTGTTCTAGGTCAGAGTTTGGTCAGAGTTAATCCCATTAATATAAGCTGTGTTTCTATCACTGTGCTGTACAGTCTGTGGTATAGGACCATGCGTGTATTGGATCTGGATATCTCAGCTCATGTAAGGACACATCTTTACTGAGAGGCAGCAAGACAGCAGAATAGATACTTACAAGAGGAATATTAAGATCAGTTATGATATTTTCTACAGCTACATTTTCTCTCAAGGGCCAGAAATACACACTTGCTGCTGACAGGTGTTGATAAACCTGGAGAAGGTTTCTTAAAAATAAGAGATAATGGAAGAGTACACAACCAAAGCTTAGGGAGTAATTTTATATTGCTTTTCAACTTCTTACGACAGGCATAAGCACTTTCAAAGTCTGTCTGCTGAGCTGAAATCTGTAGATATTAACTAAAAGACAAGAGAAAATAGAATCATTCTGGATGCATTAAAGTTTAATTGGCACCTGATGTGATTTATGTCAAGATAAAATTCCATTTCAGTTTTACCACAAAGACATTGTTGGGGTTTTGATCAAGATTGAAAACCAATATTATTTCACTTGACATAACTTCACTGCTTTGTCTGTAGAGGTGAAGGAACATATTTTTATCTATTATTAGGTGATTGTGGTCAATTCCAGACTTCTCCAAAACTAATCTTAGGGGAACTCCCACACAAAAGTCACTCAGGAGTCTTGCAGATGCCTGTGACTTCCAGCTGGAAGATTTGCTCCAAACTTCAGAAAGCCAGCAGCATTTTGGTGTGGGTAACTTGGCTACTGTGTGCCATTCCACTTAAAAATAGGATGTGAGAGCAGTTTGGATCACATCAATATCACTAGGGAGCTTTCTGCTGATTTCAGTGCTTAAATTGTGCATATATTCATTTGCATACCAGAAGCTTCAAGAAATATGGCCGAGACTGTTACTGAAAATACAGTTTGACGTGTAAGGAACCAGTTGTAAAAATCTAGTTCATAGGGCATTCTGCAAAATGTCATGTACAATTAGTGACTGTTGAGTCAGAGCAGGTTTGGAAGGGTGGCTTAGAATATATTACCCTCCTATCCTTTATCTCCTTGTGTCTTTGTTGTCCCAATTTTCAGTTCTCTCAGTTCTCCTAAACAGTCCTTTGCTCTGTATTTCATCTGCATGCTGGAGGTTTTATTTTCTAGTTCTTGCCTTGGTTTATGGCCCATGTTTACTCATCAGCTATACCAGATTGTGAAATAGAATTCACTATTTCAAGAATATTGTGGCATTGGAAACTAGTTACCACTGTTAGAAACTTGTATTGCAATGATTGCTTTCTCCCAGAACCACTGGTTTAGCAAAATTATCTCAATTGGCTTATGCAATTCTGTTTGCTAGTACCCCATGCAGGCTTTTTGTGCTGGATACACGCACATTGATGGAGGGAAAAGCTGAAGAACAGACTTGGGTAATTACTCACCACCTAAAGTCTTGCCTGCCCAGCAAAGCCAGTTCTGTTTCCAGCTGGCACCTCTCAGACTTTGAGCCTCTGTGATATTTCTGCAAGGGAAACACTCAGCCCTCTGTCCTCCGGCATCCCCCGTAACCCAACAAAGCCGATTGAAATGCTCTTGCTACCCCTTGCGGCAGTGATGCGACATGATGGTTTTGCTCATCCCTGTGATGGCTGCCTCCTGCTCCCATCTTGAGGCTGCCTGTGTCACTGAAGGTGGGAGCTCAGAAGAAAATGAAACTGCTACTCATTGACATACACTGCTCATCTTCCCCAAAGCAAACTGCAGGAACAGCTGTATCTGAAAATCTCCTGTTCGAGTGGAAACAATGAAGACAGGGGAAAAAGCTTGTAGAATACAATCAAAAAACGTTTTTTGTAGCACTGGTGGACATTTTGTAGGTAGAGTGTACCTTTCTTAGGCTCAACAGCAATACCTCAATGTTAGGGGCATCTCACTTTTAACCCGTTTCTTCTGCTGCTGCTGAAGTGCAGAGGAATCTGCCTTTGTACACTAGCAGCTGCCTGCAAGAAGCACATTAATTGTGACTGTTTCTGTATTTATTTAGTTGTTTAATTTGAGTCACTGCTCTAAAGGACTGTGGCCATACATATATATAGATTTTCACTGTCCCTTCCCCTTTTTATTTAGCCTTCACTCAGCACTCATCTCTTCTTCCACTCTTTGTCTTACAAGTATTTTTTGCCTTGTAATTCTTACTTGTGTTAGTTACACTTTGCCAATGTTTTTCCAGGTGTTCCTGAAGCAAAAGTTACTTGGTTTAAGAACAAGGTCAAGCTGTCCTCAACTCACCATCTGCATGATGGTTTGCTGTTAATACCAAATGTTTCTCTATCAGATCAGGGGTTATACTCCTGCAAGGCAGCCAATCTTCATGGGGAAATAACTGAAAGTTCCCAGCTGTTGGTTCTTGGTAAGTCTATTGCAGCAATAGAAATGTGGCTACTGGCACATCCAGGTGGCAGAACTAATCAGATGTTGTGGAAAGAGGAAATGGCATGCAGGCAGCCCTGTTCTAAGAAAAGCATCAGTCTCCATTTCTACTCTGAGCAGCATCAGCTGAAGCAAGGTGGTGGTGAAAGGAAAATGGATAAGGAGAAAACATCTAAGGATAGGGTTTGCACTCCTTAATTCCAAGATACTCAGTTTAACTCTTTCAAACTTGCTAGCTAAGAAAAGCATTTATTAACCATATCTTAAAGTGACTACCTTAAAATGAGAGTGATGCCACCTTTTCCTGTGAAGTGCTCTGTCTCCACTGAGCAGTCTTTCCATCCAAGGCTGTGTGATATTGCCTCACTTCACAACAGGTGCATAAAACCAGTGCACTTCTAAAAAGAACATCCCAAGTTCAGTAAATGCTGAATTTTACTTTGTTTTTAAACACTGGACAAAGAGCCCATCTAGGTGATTTGAAAGAGAGTGGCAGCTGTGAAATATGAATGGAAGTGGTACCTGGTGGGAACTGGAAGTGTGGGAAAGGTGTTTTCTTTCCTAGTAACTCATCTTGTATCATTTCTGCATGCCTGGAAGATTAATGATCCAGCCAGACTTTTTAAGTACTTTAGGAGTGCATTTGGTGGTAAAGTCTCAAATTCTGAAGCCTATTCCCCACAATTGGGGCAACACCATTAGAGCCATTAGAGCATCCACTAATGCTCTCATTTTTCATAACTAGTGAGCTTCCAGAGGATGTACAACAGTGAGATTTCTCTGTTTCACAGACAATACTAAAATGAAGGTTCACACTTTTCTCCTACTAATCCAAACTGACTCCAGAATATCCGTCAAAAAAAATAATTTGGATAAAATCAGCTGAGTTTCAGCCTATAAATAGACTCCCAGATGATCTCTAAAGCCTTTTCTTATCATTATAAATGGCTTAGGTTTTAAAGATGGTAAGTTACTGTGAGTTATGCAAGCTGCTTATGTTTGTAAGCAAATTACATTTTTAGCTCCTTGATGAAACAGAACAGTTCAGGCATCCTTGACCTGTACTCAGCAGTAGAAAGCTTACATAATATGCTCCATGATCTAACTGAAAGGGGATGAAGCCACTATTCATTTTAATCACATATCACATAATTTTCATGACAAACAGAATTGGGAATGCTAGGCATTACCTCAATTTTTAAAATAGCGTTGTGATTAGTAAACAACTAAATCCTGCAGTTCTCAGCATAGACTGATCCTCTTGAGTGCTGAACTCTTAGTCCTTTGGAGTTCTGCCTAAGTACACCACAAGATCTGGCAGCATTATAACCATATGTAATTAGAGCTTGATCCAGGTTGTACCAGACACTAAAAGTTTTTCACTAATTGTCATGAACATTTGATTTGGTTTCTATGCTCTATACATTAGCTTTTTCTTCCAAGCTGCTATATCTCCTGGTACCATATAACTCTGTCACATATGAATAGGGTCAAACAGAATGCTGTGGTAGCCTCCAAAGATAATTTCTTTCAGTTTGTGGTCATATTGATCCATATATTATTTAAATAATTTCTCCAGTACCTTACCTAACATGAGGCAAATTTTCAGTAGTTATCCGAAGTTGCTTAATCTGCCTCTCTGAAATGGGCAGCACAGTGAAAGGTCTAGGAATGTCTTGGGGGGGGGGCAGGGAGGAGGGAGGGTTCTATATCCCAAGACGTTTTCTGCTATAGTATTGCTCATCACTTAATTCTCCCAATCTGTTACCAGAGCCTCCACGACCTCTTCCTTACCTAGAAGAGTTGACAGCAGTGCTTAGCAGTGCTGGGCCCAACACCCATTCAGTGCTGACTTCTCCTTCAGGAACAAAATTGACTGTCAGTCCAGGGAGCTCTGCTCTCATAGGTAAGTGCTTTAATATTTTTTTATTTTGAAGTCTTTAGAGTTTATATTACAGTTATGCATCTGGTTAACCATTACATTAAGGATTTGGTTATCCAGACATGGGCACTGAGACAAAAAATGTCAAACCAATAGTTCATTGTGAGTCATAATCACTGCCAAATACTTTTTAGATCTCAGAAATTAGTTTTTTTTAAAAAGGTCCTTTAATTAGTCCAAAACTGCATTCAGACTAAGAGCTCCATGGTGCCACCCTTTATATATACACAGACATCTTCTAAGAGGTGGAATCATGGATATAAGAGGTAAAAACCTTCTTACAGGTTCTTACACCCTGTAAGGAGCAGTCCCTACCCTGGGGGGCTGGCAATCTTATTCAACACAAAGACATGGCAGACCAGTGTGCTACTTGATCTAAAAGAAGAAATGTTGGTAATTCTGTTTCAATTTTTCTTCTACGTTTGGGTAGTTGCCTTGCCATATGCCTGCTACTCATGTTGTATATCCTTCTCCAGGATACATATTCTTCAGGATATAGTTTTGCCTATTCCTCTCTACACATTTTGATCTTGCAAGCTCTCTGTTTTAATCTGTTCATTTTATTCCTCTTTCTTATTTCACACAACCAGTGCTTGCATGAAGCCACATAAGGAAATCAGCCCCAATGTATGATTTTCTTCTTTTCATCCTTTTCTGCCTTCCATATATATTTAACCTCTTTACACAGCAAGTTCTTTTATATCCTGTAAACTCCTTTCAGGTCTGTGAGTGATTGTTTGCAAAGAGATTCTCATTCTTCTCTAAATTGCGGGATATATTTATTTTACAATTTCATTTCACAGACTGCTTTGAAACTCTATTAATTGTCAGGCACTAATGTGTCCTCTAATGAACACATTACGGCATACCACAAAACCTTGTCAAGCCCTATAATTTCAGAACTATCTTTTCTTCTTTTAGGGGTAGGGATTTGAAACTTTTAGGAAGGGTTCTGTAGATGTGATGTCCTGAGTGTTAATCCATCTCTACACCTTCCAAAGCATTATTTCCTCACATTTAATAGCAATTTTAAGATTTTATTTTCACAATGGAAACAATCTACTTATGTTTTTAGTTTTGTGTGGTTTACTCTTCCAGGTATCTGCATTCATCTGCATACATTTGCAATGGCTGTCAGCCTGCAGCTCTGGATTACATTTCTGCTTGCTCAAAAACTGCACTGAAATAGTCCTCAGTGGGGAAAATATCATAGGTATTTATTAGCATTGAATAAATCATTTTGAGTATGGTTTTATTTTTCTCACTGATTTAGGACTGGGTCATACTCCTGTTCCATCTCAGATTTCCAAAAAGAGGTCTTAAGGATTTTCAGGCAGTTTTTATTGTTTAAGAGCAGTAATTGAATGACAATGGGTGTTCTGCACTGCCTGTATACAACCATGTCCAGATCAATTTCATTTGGCCATGTTGCCCTGTACCCTGCTGTTTCACTTCATGGGCAAGGAAATTCCATGGATTTTAATTGCGAAATAGCAAACCAGTTTCATTCTTGAGGCAGTTCCCTTTACTTCACTGGTGTTTTACTGGTTTGAATTTGAGCCTTGTTATTATTCAAACCTACAAAAATTTTCTGAGATAATTTTTCTAACAAAAAATCAACATGAAATGGGCTATCCAGTCAATTAGAAAGTTGTCCATTGATTCCTTCCATTCTACTACCCACCCAATCAACTTTAATCCTGCTAAGTCGTTCATCACTTACCATGTTGAGGTGTTGGCTCTACATTCTCTGGATGTCCCGTATAAGAACGTTGGGTATATAAATTGCTATGTGTAAGATCCCTTGTCTGTGCTACTGTTAGGCACTGGCATCTCTTGGGATTCAAAAGGCATTGAATTAGACATGTATTTGAAAATCTAGGCATATGAGGATTTGTTGAATAGTGAAGGAAATCAGGATATGTGCAAAGGAACAGAGTGAAATGTGAAGAAAAGGAGTGATAAGTAAGCTCTGGGTAAACATTTTATTTTACAGAAGTTAAAGACAACAAAGGTGAAAAATTATATTAGAACCAGGATAAAGTCATGCATAGGTTTCCCAGAGTTTAAGAAAAACGGGAGTCAAAACTTCATTAAACACTGGCTTCATGCCCTTTGGTGGGGGGTAAAAAAAAATGCAAACAGAAAATATTAATACAGCAGTGGAAGTCTAAAGCTGCAGATGAGAACTTGTTTGGAAATTAACAACTGTATCAAGTATAAAAAAATTTATAAACTGAGCTGCAAGGACAGAAATAGAACTTTCAGGTTATCATACATTCTATACACTGTCTTTTACAAAGTGGATTTGTGCAACGCTTCCACCATCATTTCAACCATGTGAAACTATTAACTTGCTGTCTAGAATCATCTGCTATGGGTTTCTTCTACTTAAATTTCAGGGGGGTTGTGGAAGCTAAAGAGCAGTGTCATAACACAGATACTTGGTTTGGAGGTTTTTCTTCTCATTGCAAGGGTCATTGAGCAGTCATTTATGTGCCTTCACAATAAAAGGAGAGGAAACTATCTGTTAGAAAACCCATGCCCTGCCCAACAGGGTCAGCAATATTTTTATCTTAGATACTGCTTTTGCTTCTAAAGTTTTGAGATTCCAGCCAGCTTTCTAGGCCCAACTCATCATCCAGCTGAAGAGCATGATGCAGATGGTGGCTTACACACATTGGTGCTTAGCCTACTCTTTAACAAATCCTGAAAATATGTGCAGTGAGCTGCACTCTTCCCCAGCCCTTACATTCATTGTCAGGTTGTAGTAGGCACTTGTGTGTTACCTGCTATCCCCAAAGCAGAGCTAGAACACCCATGCTTGAAAATATATCTGGGTTTTATGGTAATGCAAATTGGCAATCAGTGATGAGCCACAGACCATCACACACATTCTGATGTTCTTGGTTCATGGCAGGCACACAAAAAGACTTTACATTACACATAAGATAAAACACAGTAGATTTCTGAAATGACACAAATTTACATTTTTGTGGAAATTTTTCACATTAGATCTTAATCTTATAAAGGTTTCTGTCTTTGTGACTTTTTAATCTTGATTACGGTTTTCCTGAATGTTAATGATGAAAATATTATAAGGAACACTGCTCTTTTCGCCACAGAAAAAGCCTTTTGTTTGTCACCTGATAAGAATTTTGGGGTTTAAATTAAATTAAAAGAACATCCTAAGCACATGTATTTTCAGTAGTTTATCTGTGCTACAAGTATCAATGATTTTTTTTTCACAAGTCCTTAAACAAATTTCAATAAGTCTTCAGCTTTGTAAATGTAAATATTAGCAGAAACCAATGTTGTAGGATCCAGTGTTCTTGATTTCTAACACTCCTGAAGAAAAGGCTTTGGACTTATCAAGAATATCTGTTTTCATTTGGGTTCAAGCTTGTTATTTTCTGTATTTGAATATAATTCAGTGGGAAACTCAGGATCTTACAAATCTTTGTGGAGATTCACTACAACTTCTCATATATGTTGAATTATTATTGGAGACCAATAATCAGCAGACTTGGCAAAGGAAACAAAATATTATTAAAAAATATGTCCTTGTTTCAGCACTGAAGAATCCTGAACATGTTATAATTGTGTTGCACAGTGAAAGATTAAGCTTTAATGACCTTGATATCTATACATTAGTTATATTTAAGTGAGAATTTTTGCAGGAATATTGGAAGAAGTTCCAGAAATTAATACTTCTAGGAATATGAACATGTAGTATTCCTTGTAAAATTTCAGACTGAAGTAAAGAGGACAGAAGGAAAATGTTATTTTAGGGAAGCTGATAATATGAATAAATGGGGAAAAGCCTAGGCAATTATTTGAAGTCTGGTTCCCATCCCTCCTTACTTGTAAAGGATACATGAAAATTACTGTGATGTTAAATCACAAAGTGTATTTTTCTATGACCAGAAAAGTAAAAAGATAGAAAAATAAATACTGCTGCACCGTATTTATGATGTTCTCCTTGATTACTTCCGTATTTACTCACTTAACAATTCAGAAGATTATTTTACTGTCAGCACTGCAAACATAGTCCTAAAAAGCAGGTTTCTTTCTGGTTTTATACATCATCCCACATGACTACAGAATTAGAGCAGCTTTGCTGCCTGTTTCACTACTGCTTCAGAAGATGACCAGCTGCACAACAAAGTCTTGTTCTGCAAATAACAATATTCAAAATGCAGCTGTTTTTAAGACAAAGTGATAACAAAAACATGCCACTTAAAAGATACAAAGGATTTCTCTGTTCCAAGTTTACTGTATATCACTCTGATTTTTCTTCTCCTGGCAGTAGCATATCCCACTCATTTTCTAGTAGAATTGCTTAGGTTCCCAGAAAGCAGAATCAAAAAAGAGTCACCTTGATTGCAATGGCCAGCCTTTTGAGTATGAATAAATTACTTAAAAGGTCCAGCTGCCTTAGAGCCAAAACCTAAAGTTCAGAGTGGGGTCAGGTTTTTTTTATTATTTCGGATGGGATCTGTTCAAGCCTGTGACTAGTACTCGCCAGTAGATTTAAGGGTTATCTAGACATGACAGCAGACAGAAGAATTAACCTAGATGTTTTTGCATGTTCTTGGGTGCATTATAGCGAGCCAAATGTACAGCTGGCTGCTTTAGGAGAAGAACCAGATCAGATAGATAGACTAATGTCAGGATCAAACTCTTTCAAGCAGAGCCAGAGAAGTTAATGCTGCAATTGCGTGCTGTGTCACAACATCTGGCTCTCATAGGACTGACACTTGTTCAAAATCAGTGTGAAAAGTAATAAATTATCCCAATGAACACAACTGATCTCATCAGTACAGATTTCTTTCAATGTTTGGTGATATACTTGAGAGCAAGAGTATATCTTCTTGAAAGCATGTTTTCTTGTAATTCCCCTTCGCTCTTCCCATCTCTACCATGAGCCTCTTTTAAATTTTCCTATATTTGGGAATTATTGC